TTTTTTTTTTTTTTTTTTTTTTTTTTTTTTTTTTTTTTTTTTTTTTTTTTTTTTTTTTTTTTTTTAATAAATCAATATTTGGTGAAAATATGTTTGTTGTGTGTGTATGATGTATATATATACGATACGTATGTTGTATGTTGAATATGAATTTGTTAAAATAGAGAAATAAATGAAAGTCCTCTCTCAAAATTATGAAAATTAGTAATACTTTGTTCCGAAGCAAGGAAATATTAGGAAATAATTTTTTAGTTACGAACAAAGTAAATAACAATAAATTAGATCATCACTGGACGCAGCCCTCATTTGAAGAGGGAAAGAGCAGCTACTGTATGATTTTCACTAATTTATTTACCACATTTAATTGTGTTGGTTTTGCCATTGATCCTACATATATATGTATAATTTTACGTAAAGCACGATTTGCGCAACGAAAACTAATGAAACAAAATCCAAACGAAGATATTAATATTTTTATTTCACATTGGTTCCGTGGAATTTGAACTGCCCGCTGACAAGAAACTCAAAGCTCTACGTGAGCCAAATCGCGCACTACAACGATTTCAACAAACTTCTCAATCTAGTAATGTTCATTTCCCACCATGTGTTGTTCAAACTATAAAAAAATTGCTACAGCTGAGCCAAAGTGTCAAGGTTGCCAGACTTTTATATCGCAGAGACTGTCATGATAATTTTTAGCGCACGATGTGAATCACGCAGAGCATTGAGTTTTCATGAGCGGGTGGTTTGAATTCACGCATCAAGAATCATTAAATATCTTTGAAAGGAGTTGATTTCGGTAATTTTCGTTGTGCGCATCGTATTCTACGTAAAATTTTAATTAAGAAACATGTATCAGAATGCTGAAATTCGTACCTTGTCTAGTGGCCCATTGTCATCGTTTTTATTCCAAATTCCGTGTTGCTCATCAGCATCGTTCTTCGCAAATTTGGCTTTGATTCTTCAACATTAATTGTCCCAATAGAAAGGGGAGAAAGGAAAATCAAAAAAAAAAGGACGACCGAATAAAGTAGGTTAAAGGAAACTCTACGTGTCACACTCAAATACCTAATTTCTTTGCGATTTTGAGGGCCGGCAACGTTAAATACATGAAAATAATACATTTCTAAGAAAATTGACAATGTCGCGATAAAAATCAGTAATTGTCTACTTCATCGGCACAATAGGCAACGCTGTAATTAAGTTAAGGTGTATGAGAAAAAGCCTCAGTCAGCGTCGCATGCGATAGACCAGCTGAATTTCATTTCAACTCTGTGATGCAACTATTCGACCTCTTTGGTTGTCCGTGTTGCATACGCACTGAAGCGAAGGCGTTTTGATTTTAGACACTAACCGCTTCAATAGCGGCGCTCATTGGAGGCGAGCCTAAGAGAGGAGTCGGGCAAAATATGGAAACATCCAAATGTCATATCGATGTTATTACGGAAAGTAGATGTTTTAGACGTGGTTTCATTGATTTTCTCATAAAACTTCCTTCAAGAGGCATTCATACGATTTACAAAAAGAAAAAATTAACATCAAAATTTGCAGTTTTAGGCAAAAATTTCATGTCCAACTTTCCTGAAAGGCTTGTTTCATTGTGCGGTGGGCTCAACTTAACAGTGAGGTTGTAAAATTACAGTGACTTCAATTCTTTATTTATATTTCGAGAACATCTCTCAAGCATGTGTAGTTGCTCCAAAAATCCTGCTCAGTACATTGCGATATCAAAATTGAAGCACAAAAGCTACTAAAATCCTACACTTGCATTTGAAACACTTTGAAAACCTATAATTTGCAACTATTCGTGCATAGGAGATATTTATGTAGTAAAAACGGAGAATTGAAGGCGCTCTGACATTTTGGATCCTCGCAGCGAAGCCCGCCGTTGTCGCCGAAGGCCGCGGGTGAAGTAAAGTAGTGAGTGCGTGGACAGGCAAAACGCCTTCAACTCCGTGCATATGCAACACGGACATCCATGGAGCCCGAATAGTTGTATTCAGAAGTTAATATGATTTGTATTGTTTTCGTCGCATTTGACACTGAATAAGGGCCCTTTCCTTGTTTTTCTTGCACCCTAACTTTATTCCAGCGTTGCTTATTGTGCCAATGAAGTAAGCTTTTACTGATTTTTATTGTGGCATAGTTAATTTCCTGAATAATGCTCGGATTTTTTTCCAGATATATGCCGTCCTAAAATAATGGTTGTGGTCCTGACCTTCTTTGATATAAGAGCGACGAATATGGCCAAATCGTTTCATGGTCACTTCAGGAAAAATTTGAGAGAGCATCTCAACATATTTCTATTTATATATTTATATATTTTCATAAAAGTTAGAATGTAATCAAACTTGGCAAATCTTCAGACGCATTGTTTCTTTTTGGAGAGAAAAAAATTCGAGAGAATCAGCCTGACAGATATCCAGATCTCACTGGCACAATTTTTTATTTTATTTTTTCAATATATAGATTTTCCGCATGATTCGCTTCTTAAATAAATAATTAAATCAGAATTTAAAATAAGAATAAAAAGAATGAGATTGACACAAAAATAAGAAAAGAGTCGTTTTAATTACAGAAATAATACAGACAAAAGATGAAATATAAAAAATTGGTAAAATCGCGAGTATGTTAGAGTTTCACCAAAAATAAAATATAAAACAAATTTACAATAAATACATAAAAAGACAATTTATAAAACTTAAATATATTTAACGTACCTACGGACTTAATTATTATTACAAGTGAAAAAGCACTTAAATAGTACGTTCTAATTAAAAAAGTAGTCTTCTTTTGAATCACATAGTTGCTTGTAGGGCGATTTTGCGACCGTAATCTTAATTTGGCCTGCTTGGTCTTATGATAGGTTGCTTCGAATTTTTCGTTTGTAAAGATACCTCTTCTGGACTTGCTGGGACGCCACCTGTTGAAATAAAACACAATATGAGAACGTATTGCAGTGATTTAGTATCACCAGAATTTTGTAACATAATAGAATAAAATAGGAGTTGATTTGACTTCTTCAAAAAAAAAAAAAAAAAAAAAAAAAAAAAGCACTTAAAATCGGGACACTTACACTTGCACTTGGGCCGTTAACGCGAAAGAGATCTTTGTAAGACGAGCGCCCATAAATTGCCTTCAAAAATGATGAGTAGGCAACCCCTCGACGAATGTGCTCGAATAGTAATTGACCTGCAGGAGCTTATTTGAATTAGCGTGGCTCATCTCTTACTTCTGAAGATTGAACTTTTGGATGTGTTCAGAGGTATTTCGATAATGTTGGTTATTAAAACAAATAAACTTCTTACAATTGAAAAATTAAATTACTTTTCTTTTGACATTTAACTCTATCGCTTGAATTTTTTATGGAATATTTGGTCCAAAGTTGAAAAAAGCACTATTTACACGCATTTGGAATATGTGTCACGTTATTGTTTTATTAATAACAATTTTAGACTAGGTATTTTTCGAAGTTATAATTTTCAATTTGGTCCTACATTTAAACTCCAAAATACCTAGATTATTTGTTCCAATTTTATTATATATTTTTCCCCCGACGATCCAATTTTTCTTCTTCTTTTTTTGTTATGAATCACTTTGAATTGTGCTGAGGCTGTTATCAAAAGAGGGAAGAAATATTACGAGTACCGACTTTTGAAGATCAAAAACCATTGATGTGTTAAAAATTGATAACAGACTAAGCAACAAAGAGAATCCAAGTACAAATTCTCTGTAGTTTGGACAACGATGTAATTGTTTTAAATTATAGTGATCTCAGTAATTCATGCTGTATGCGTTAGATATATTGGTTACTTTATAGAAAAGAAGAGAAGAAGTTCAAAACTGACAATGAGTAAGTGCCATAAGGTGTCGCTAAGACTGTGCACATTGTGGCTTGCTGTGAAAGAATTTGAATGCCTTTACTCAATGAAATTTTCAAGGGAACATTTCCTCAAACTTTAGATCTTATGTTCTTGAAAATAATTGTTATTTTCAGGCCATTAGCTTTTCATTACACGGAGGCTACAGTCATGCCATCTCAGCAACACCTGATGGGCCTCATCCGGTTTTGAATTTCTACTCTTTATATAATGAGGTGTACGACTTTCAAGTTATTTTTACACGGGGGCTCACCTTCAGAACATTTGTAAAATGCTGTCAGATAAGGAACTAGATCACCTCTCAACTAAAGCCTCATAATATATCTGATTGTCTAGTTTTTGTCGTTAGGGACCGTGAGGATTTTTTAAGGCAAGAGATGGTGCTACTTGAATACGCTCATCAAGAAAAAGATGACTTCAAACAGGGAAATTTGCCGATAATCAATGAATACGGTAATTAATCCGCAATCAATTCAACAAATTGTCATCAAGAGTAAGTTTTTTTTTAAAAAAAAAATTTACAGGAGCACGTTTCTTCCGAAAAACTAATTAGCGACCAAGTTTTAGCTTTTGTTAAAGTTTATAATCACTAAAGATAAAAAAGTGCGACAAAGTGCAATGTTTAGAAAGGTTATGAGGGATTTAGTTCAGGATTATTTACATTTTTGCTGTTTAAAGTAATAACAATGTAATTTCGTTGCAACGTTACAAAATTTACGCAGTTGTCTCATTTTTCACAACGTGGCAGAGATATTCCTTGAAAGAGCCATTTTATGTGGAAGAATTTTAGCTATAAAGCGAGGAAATTGAAAGTAGATAGCAATGCGCAGCGACTACACACAGTGAAAAAATTGAGTGGCTGCGGAGATTTTTGAAACATTGCAATTAACTTTGAAAAACGCATGCGCATATGTATACTTTCTAAGCCGCGGCGCATCGAGAGATCTTTAAAATATGAGTATAAAAAGTTAGATGAAGTTATACATAAGTATGAAAAGCAGTATGTACATCGTGCGAGGGTTATTCAAATTTTAGTTCGATGATGCATATTAAGATTTTTTCCGGAAAGTCTTACTCAACACTACTTCAGGTTATTCCGACGCAGGATATAGCCTGAGGGACTTAGAACTTCTGATCCTTTTTTTCTTTGGTGAAAATAAAATCTGTAAGAAATGTGTATCGGTGTGACAAAAAAGCAAATGATTTTTTACGCTGAATCTGCGTGGGAGTCAATGGGTATGGATTGAGGGAGAAAGTTTGCACTGATTGCTATTTATGGGTTACAAAAAGTTCAAAAGTTTCAAATTTCTCTATCACAATCACACACAACGATGCATGAATTCCACTGTAGCTCTTGAATCTCAAAAACAACAAGAAATGTCCTTTCTTTTCAGGAAACAAGTTTTAGGAATGCATGGTAAATACTTGGAATATCCATTTTGTTTCGCAAAAATGGCTGATAGCTTAAGGGCCTTTGTAACCAAAACCCACTATAGAACCAAAAATTGAACTAAAACTATACACTTTAACCTCTGTTAGAATGTGTTTTTTGGTGTTACCAGTTCTAATACGTTAAAGCCATAAATCCCATGGAAAAATTATCGAAATTATCGCTACGGCAAATGAAACCTCTGAAATTAACACTAAAAATAAATGTAAAATGTGTATGTATTGCGTGGTGCAAAAAGCAGGTAAAAAAAATAGGTGCACAAAAAATAATACTTAAGTGCTGAGATATATAAATACAAAGTACCTGGTCTAAATAAATACCATGGCCGATACTTCTATGTACGAGACCATTTTCTTTGAACTACCACAGTCTCGTACGTAAGCTACCAAAAATACTACTGACAGGTTTTTTACTACTATTGAAAGTACAAAACACCATTTAGAGTGAGTATAATCTACTTGAAATACTTCGTAACACTGTCTTTTCATGCACAAAGAACTACTAAAAATAACAAGCAGACACTTACTTCCGTTGGCGAAATGCTTTTCAATGGCTTCGAAGGATTTTCCCTTCGTTTCAGGAAGGTAGATCATCACGAATAGTGTCCCTAAAAGAGACATGATTCCGTAAAACGTAAAGATTCCCACTGTACCCATGCTCATCAGCATACTTTTGTACAACTTTATGACTACGAAACTAGACAGGTATGCAAAACAGGAAGTGATACTGCAAGCAACCTAAGGACAGACACCGAGAAAAGATATTTGAATCAGGATCTTCGTACGAATAAATGGTTGTTATTTTTATAATTGTAAAAATGATATTGAAAGCTCCCTTCAAAATGATTGGATTCAGCCAAGAACCTATTTGCCGTGGATCTTGCCATGGGGCACAATTTCAACAAAGAATTCACCGGAAAATAATTTATGAATTCAATCCAATCAATCACTGAATGCACCCTTCAATTATTTTCTTCTCAAAAACTTCAGATGAATATTTCTAGGCAAGCTCCTTATACCGCTCTAAGTCTTAATTTCCGCGTCTGGGGGCAGTTTTCTAGCTGTCGCAAACGAGCACATTGGCAACTTCAGGCGGTTTCGGTGGTTGCGTGTGAATGAAGGTAGTTGCCAATCTATTTTTGTTGTTTACTTTTTCTGTTTATTAGCAAACCGTAATCAATGATAGTGATCCATGCCCACGCACAATATCTCTCCATTTAACAACAAATTTTATGTTCAAAATCGTCAGTCTTTGGTAGTCGTCGCTTGTTCCCAGGCACGGTAACTAAAAACTACCCTCAGGCACGATTAATTTGAGAAAAAAGGCTCCAACCAACGCAAATTGTGCCCGAGGAGTGGATTACAGAGTTTTTAAATGTGATCTTTTTGTCACTTTACTCCTCGTCGTCTAAGAAGCCTAGACTTACTAGAAGGACACCTAGTAAGCGCGGCGGCAGCTTTGTTGCTGCTGACGTCACTGCACTGGAAAAAAAGTCTCTGGGATCCGGAGTTCAGACTCTTAAAAAATTCGACAAGAAAAAATACTCTTGATTCAATCGGATATTTGCTTGAACAAAAAGGAAATCCGCTTAAATTAAGAGGCTGGGCTCTCGATTCAAGGGGAAATCCGATGGAGTGAAGAGTATTTTTTCTCGTCGAATTTCTGAAGAGTCTGGACTTTGAATCCAAGAGACTTTTTTTCCAAGAGACTTTATAATTCCAATTCAATCTTACGGCCCGAGAACTAACGAGCACATCCCATATTTCCCACCCGCACATATCCCAAGTAGCATTGTCATCTACTTTCTAGATGGCGCTCATCAAGAAAATGTCTACTTTCTAGATAGAACAATTTTCTTGAGAGAAAATAGGTACAAAGCGGATCTAGAAAATAGACACAAGAAAATAGAAAGAAAATACATTTTTTCCTTGCATTTTCTTAAAAGAAAACATTAAGAAATTGGCTAGAAAATAATTCTACTTTCAATGAATTTTCTATCTTTTTTCCAAATAGAAAGTTGACAGAAAGTAGACCTATGAAATAGATCTATTTCCTTTGGTCAGACTTTTAACTCGCAATGTTTTTTCTTTCTATTTTCTAGATAATTCTCATTTTCTTGGTATTTTCTAGAAGTTTTCTTAATAATTTTTTTCTACGAAAAAATTCTATTTTGCTACTTGGGTAGTTCTGTTTGGTAGAAATACGTCCAAATCTTGGTGTGGAAGTACTTACCCCTCTGACTTGGGCCGGGAAGACCTCCCCGATCATGCACCAGGGCACGGTGAGGAAGCCGATGGTCCCGAAGACGATGTGGACGAAGAGGGCGGCGATCGGGATCCAGGAGAGACCATGGACTCCCTGGAAGCTCTCGCTCATGACGACCGTCACATTCTCGACGAGGGAGAAGTTGGACATCGGGATGGGGGCGTCCGTGGAGCCGACGAGGGCTTGTGGAATCGCGGTCGTCGTCGTGGTGGAGTTGACGAGGACGGGGGTGGGGGCGGCAGCGCCGGGGACGAAGTAGCAGTAGCCGACGAGGGCGAACATGCTCAGCGTGATGCCCACGCCGGAGATGATGGAGGCGAAGCGACGCCCGAACGCCTTGTTCACCCACACCGAGACGATGATGGTGACCAGCCTCAGGAAGGCGATCAGCACCGCGATCAGGTAGGCGTCGGCCGTCACACCCGCGATTTTTATGACGTCAACCTGCGGGCAAAAATCGTAATGTAGGTTTAGACAGAGAGTAAAATTATTATATGATAATAAAGAAAAAGCATATCGACGGTTTAAGTCGGCAATCACCCAACTCGGTTTGCGACGTCGCAGACATCCAGTCACACTTCATCTTTTAAACGGAAAACTACCCAACGGCGCAATTCTTTAAAACTGCCGTGAGTTTTCTTCTCAATGCGAGGAAAATTCTGCAAAAATTTCAAGGAATGATGTCAATTTGTTTTCCTTTAGAAAAAATAACATAGAGGCAGAGATTTTCAGACGCCGCAAACGAAACATGTGATATTGCGGACTTACGCTGCGCTGTCGATTTGTCGTAGGAGCTTGTGTCGAAGGCCGGATTTAGGGGGTGGCCATATGGGCCGCGGCCCATGACGGCAAATTTTGCAATTTTTTTTAAATGTAGTTAAAATAAATCGAATTCAGAAAAAAAATTACAAACTAGATAAGGCGACAAAATCTCTAATTTCCTGAGAACACAGTAATTTCTAATATTGTTGTCTATCGATGAAACAAGAGATAGCACCTTTAATTAGTAAAGTTAAGAGAGAAACCAAACACGCACTTTAGCCTGGAGCGGCGCGGCGCAGAGAGAAATGATGACAAGGACTTGATATGGAAAGGAGAAGCCCTCTGCGCAGCGGTCGGCATGTAACATATATTAGCGCCTACGAGACTCCACGCATACTTCACGCATTGCGTCAAACATAGTGCGTTCAGCAGCGCAGCTGTCGCGTCGGCGTGAAACGCGTAGCGCCTACAAGACTGCATGAATACTTCACGCATTGCGCCAAACACAGTACGGCAGCGCGGCGCGGGGGCGGAAGTTAAAATTCCTAAACCAAATTTATGTTTGTTCTTTCATAAATTTTTTGTTCATTTCATACAAATTGGAGGCCTTGCCAACACAGAGGTAGGTTTACGGAACTTAACTTTCGCGCAAAGTTTCGTGAACCTTTGCTAGAAGTGTTGACAGGGCTTCGCAAAAAAATGTGTCCAACATGAGTAAACACGTAAGTAAAAACTGCCGTGATTTTTCTTCTCAATGCGAGGAAAATTCCGTAAAAATTTCAAGGAATCATGTCAATTTGTTCTCCTTTAAGAAAATAACATAAAGGCGGAGATTTTTAGACACCGCAAACGAGTTACGTGATTGCGGACTTACGCCGTCGATATTTGAATCAATGAGGACAAAAACACATCAACTCGGTAACTCTAAAATGCTCAATTTTCATTGAAGACAGTCAGTTTTCATAAAGATTATGGAAGTTAACGTATCTGTTACAACTTGGACCTTTAAAAAGTCCTTACGCACTTGTCTTTCGGCACCAGTGGCGTGGCGTGCTTTGCGATATATCGATTGATCTGTCATTTAAACCCATGGAAAAGGATCGATAAACAGGGTGTTCGCAGCGAACACCTTAATAATCGATATTTTACCATAGCTTCAATGAGGACATATCGATAGTCGATCATTCACGCCTCGCCACTGTTCGGCACCAAAAATCTTTTTCCTGTGCTAATTTCTTCAACTACTGTGCAGTTTTGCGTGTCTTGATTATTTTCATTTTTACCAGTTGGTGTGTTTTCGTTCTCTTTATGTATATACGGTATTTCTTGCATAAAATATGTATTTTTGATGAGAGTCATGCATATTTTTTTTTCGAAATTTTCAAATATTTTAGATAAAATGACGAGCAAAATTGTCTAAAAGTTTTGAGGAAAAATACTCACGATTTTCCTGGTGAATTTGTTTTATATTGAAGGAAATATGGCAATGTCTGAAAGACTCATACGGCGTTCTTTCTCAGCACGGCAGAACAGGAGGCCACTTATTGTTTGACATATTATTAGTATTTTCATTTGCTAGTAAGGGAAGAAGAGAAAAATGAAAGAACTCACCGCATAGAAGACGATGACGAAGAGCCCGGACACCTGTTGGAATAGGAAGTAGGTGTTCATGATGATGAGGGGTTTGTAGGCCTGTGGCAGGGCGAGCCCGGATATGGAGCGAGCTATGCTGGTGCTGCGCCCGCGGTAGGCCCTGCAATTTTCGATGATCTGATTGAGCTCCTTCTCGATTTTGTTCTTGGACTTGGTTCCGCGGAGGGTGCACAACGCCTTGGAGGCCTCCTGGTTCTGCCCGCGACTCACGAGCCACACCGGAGACTCCGGGATCCCGATCAGCACCAGACCGGAGACCAAGATCGAGATCACCCCGCTCACCAGGGCCACGCAGTGCCAATGCCTCTGCAACAGGAGAAACGTTTTTAGTTGAGAGGTTCAAATAAGAAGCAGGGACAATATGGACTGCATTCTGCAATTTGGAACTATAAAGTCTGGCTCATCTGAAAAAACATTTATGTGCATAGGGAAACTAATGGCACATACGTTGTTTTTAAACCAGGCCAGAAATTATAGTTCCAAATTGAAAAATGCAGTCCATATGTATTTCGGACTGAAAAGTTACGGGCTATATGGACTACATTTCGCAATTTAGACCTATAAATTCCGGCCAAGTTTAAAAACAACGTATGTGCCATTAGTTTCCCTGAGCACATAAGTGCTTTTTCAGTTAAGCCAGAATTTATAGGTCCAAATTGCAAAATGCAGTCCATACAGACAGATCGTCCGTTCCGGGCTCAGAAGCCGAAAGTTTCGGATGCTGGAGCCGTAGCTTCGACTGACGCGGCCGCTACACCCGAAACTTCTGGTCGCTGAGCCCGAAACGCGGACGGTATGTCTGTATAGCAAGTGAGTACGGCTTACACGGCCGGAGTTTTTTTTTTTTTTTCAGTGCACACTGTAATCTTTCTTAGGAAGTAAAAGTCACATTAGGAAAGTGGCAAAGACAAAGACGTAGAATAGACAAAGAAGACCAAAGGGATATGGAGGGACCGTAATGGTGGAAGCGGGTGGTTGCAATAGACAGGTAGGTAGGTAATAGACTAACTAACAGTAACCCATGAGATGCCCTTTAGTTAATCCATCATTTGTCTCTTTAGTCTATAAGAACCACACATTTCAACCAATAGGATTGTTCCATACTCCTTATACCTTCTTCGTCTATCGCTTTCTCTATCAATTCAACAATAAACCCGCAGGGCTTAGATTCGAATGATGTCTGATGACCGAAAAGTTGAGCAATCGTTTTAGCAACCCTAACCTGATTTGCAAAACTCGCCTACAATTAAAGTTTTCACTCCGATCTGTCATTATTTGTTCTATTTATTGCTCAACAGATACAGAGGACGGTAGGACCGCCGGCGTTGTAAAACAATTAAACAGTCAATGCCTTCGTCTAAAAATTGACTTTTTTGCGGTTAAAACCAGTAATAGTTTACCACATTGGTAAAGTAGGTAACGCTGGAAATAGGTTAAGGAGTGAGAGAAACAAACAAGGCGTATACTCATTGTCAGTTGGTGGCGCTTGCGATTAACACTAAACGAATTTCATTATAACGCCTGGATGCAACTATTCGAGCCTTGCGGATGTCCGTGATGCATACGCACGACATTGAAGGCGTTTTGACTCTCCAGGCACTCATCGCTTCCGCGGCGCGGCGAGGGTGGGTAGTGGTGCCTACTGCGAAGATCCAAAAGACAGAATGCGTTAGATTCGTTGTTTATGAAACAAATACATCTCTCAGGCACAAACAGTTGCTTTGTAAATCATGCTCAGCACGTCGTGACATCAAAATTGAAGCACAATGTGCAATAATCCGTACCGAAGAAAAATGTTTTCATTTTTTAAATGTATAACACTGTTTCTTTCCTGAAATATGGGCTGCGGAAATGAAAAAAGTTTTCCTAGGCACGGATTGTTGCACACAGACGTAGGAAGTGATAATATTTTGTGCTTCAATTTGGATGTCGCGACGTGCTGAGCATGATTCGTAAAGCAACTATTTTCACCTGAGAGATGTTTTTGGATAAACAACGGATTTAATGCGTTCTATCTTTTAGGATCTTCGCAGTAGGTGCCGTCCACCTGCGCCGCTGCGCGGAAACAATAAGTGCCTGGAGAGTAAAAATGCCTTCAATTTCGTGCGTATGCAATACGGACATCCAAAAGACCCGAATACTTGCATCCAGGCGTTATAATGAAATTCGTTTAGTGTCCGTCGCGTGTGCCACCAACTGTGAACTGAGGGCGCTTTGTTTGGCGCGCTCAGGAAAATTATTCGAGCAAGCATCCAAACATATTTGCTTTCGAAGAAAAGATCAAAATAATCAAGTCAGAAATGCACATTAATCCACAGCCAGTTCAGAACCCGGTGCAGGACACCAGTTGAGGCTATAAAGAGGTATCCGTCTCTAAAACGGACTTCACGTCTTTTGATTTTAATGTGGAGCATCGTGCAATTATAAACTGATTTAGTGACCACGTCATTCGATTTAATATTGAACTCTTGGTTCAAACCAAAACAAACTAATATAATCTCATGTACAAAGTCTTCGTGCGTTAACTGTGCTAATTTATTAAAATTTAATTATTGGCCGGTCATAATTCAATTAAAGACTCATTAAGCATGATAACCTTCGATTATGAGAAACACTTGGACGCATTTTACCATAATGGCGCAGAGGGCGCGAATCAGGAACAAGGTTCTGTGTTTGTTTACATTTGAACCGAGGGTTCGATATTGTATAGAAAGACGTAGCCACTAAATTGGACACATTAATAATTATCTCTATCAAACAGATTTATGTGCAGGTGAGAAGTATGGGGTGTGCTCTAGGAAGCTGCACAAGAAACAATGTGGTCAATGGGCGTTATTCCTTTTGAGGAATTGGAAAAGCGGGATTTTAAATTCAGCAAACAGAACTATGTACCAACAGAATGTGGGATTCATGAGCCGCGGGTATGGCATGAGAGCGTTGTGGACAGGGCTCATGAGTTTAAGCGCCCCAACGACGATCTACGTCTTGCGCCCCGGCTCCATCATTGCCGCTGACGTCACTGGCGCTTTATTATTCTCATTCACTCTGACGGCCAGAGAACTAGCGAGCACACCCCACATTTCTCACCTCCACATAAATTTGTTTGATAGAAATCGTCGTTTTCTTTCCGAAGGAACGTAACTACATTTCAATGTTGCCAAATTTCCCCTTGGAAATTGAAATTTTTCAAGGAGAATCTTGGGTTTTTCTAGATGAAAATTTCACTAGTCTATCTCATGCAAAAATCAGAAAAAATTGGACAAAAATTGCACAGGTACATTCTTGTAAAAAAGTCAATTGATGGGGTCAATTTTGCAACTTTGGAATGGAGTTACGTTCCCTCGTCAGGGTAGCGACGAAATGCATCCAATTGGACCGCGTTTAGTAGAAAGGAACCAAGCCACATCAGCGTTTGCCAAATTTAATCGGGCAATTTACTTCTTTACAAGAGTAAGTTTGTGCGGATTCCTTTGAAAATTTCAAGGAATTTGCTTTGTGCTATGGAGAAAATTCATTGAAATTTGTACAAAAATCCGCCCGACCGTTTTCATGTAAAAAATTTAATTGCCCGATTAAATTTGGCAATAGCTGATGTGGCTTGGTTCCTTTCTGTTTGACTCGGTCCAATTAGTCCATGATGATGACTGACCTGGAACCACCAGCCGAGGCAGTACTCGGTGAGGATGCCGACGGCGATGGAGATGGAGGAGCAGGTGACGAGGATGCCGCGCATGGCGTTGGAGGTGATCTCGGAGGTGTAGACAGTGCTGGGGATGCTGGAGAGCCCGGTGGCCAGGCCGGTGAGGAGTCGGCCCAGGTAGACGCGCGGCAGGGACGGCTCCACCGCGATGAGGAGCCACCCGCAGACCGCGGGGACTCCCACGAAAATCATCGTGTTCTTCCGACCCAGCCGGTCCAGCAACGGACCCACCAGCAGACACCCCACCGGGGTCGCCAGATTCGCCAAACTTGCTGTAAAACAAAACATTCTCCGATTAATAGTCGAATAAAGAGGGAGTCCTTGACACTTCTTTATTGAGTAAGGGGCACGGACAAAAAATTTTCGTGCGTGGGACCCGAAGTTGAGGTCATATGGATCTCTGAAATTTTCGAATCACGTATCTAAAAACTTGAGGTCCCGCTGCCGAAGTTCGGGTCAGACATCTGAAGTACTTCGATATACACTGGTAAAAAAAACCTCTTGGACCAATGCCGCATTGCATTGACTTAAGAGTGCAGTTTCTTGTCGCCGGATTTAAGAGTCTTGAACTCTTGTTTCAAGCGGATTTTGCATTGATTCAAGCGGATTTTGCATTGAAACAAGAGTCAAGACTCTTAAATCCGGCGACAAGAAACTGCACTCTTGAACCAAGAGGTTTTTTTTACCAGTGTATACCGAAGGGCTCGGATCAAACATCTGAAGTACTCCGGTACATACCGAAGTGCCTCGATGTCTGACCCGAACTTCGGCAGATCGACCTCAAGTTTTCGGATGCGTGATCAGAAAACTTCAGAGATCCATTTGACCTTAACTTCAGGCAACTTTATACCCTTTCTTAGCAAAAAATAGACCACCCCAGTACACCATGGTTTAATCTAAATCCATCTCATCAGTGATACAAGTGAAACCCTCAGAGTTTTCACACATCATTGATCGATATGAAAAAAATTGAGCCAATGTGGTTTTCCGCACTAATGCGGTAGGCGGTAGACGCCTGTAGAATGATAGATGACTATGCTAGAAAATATTTACGTATTCGAAAGTAAAAATATATACCACTGTGCGGCGTTCAGAAAGGGTCACTAATTCTGTATCTGTGTGAATAATACAAGTTATTCATAGTAGGGAAACTTAATGATAAGAATTGTTGATAAACAAGAATGAAATATCCTCCTCTACAAGTCACCCGGGCAGTCTGCTTAAATGCGGCAGTATGTGGATTTACATTCGGTTGGACTGATACTATTATTACTCGTTGATGGTTCGGTTTACTTTATTTTACACGCGGTCGGTTGGGAGATGTTCTTCCTTCCCGGATTGCAATAAATGTCTGCGAAACGAGTTTTAGTAACGACCCGCGAAGTGTCACGGCGAAAAGAAAAAGGATTAGTAGTAAAGAAGAGCGTAAGGGGCGGTTGCCAAACTTATTCTGCTAAGATATTTTACAAATATCAGTGTGGAAAAAAGCTCTAATTAAAACATCTCACAACCTCGGGGACTAGGCCTATTTTTCAGGCCAATAATTGGTCACTGAATCGATTTCTCATGAGGTCTGATAAAGTGCGTTTTACTTAAGGTAGTTTTTTCTTCGAGCGCACAATGGGTAAGTGCTACGGAGAAATACGGATGGTAAACACGATTTCGTGAAACAATGTTTTAGAATAGTTCCATGAAGTATTCCGATTGAAGTCGTTCGTGAGTCAATGCTATTGCTATATACTCCTTGACAAAATATCAACAAAAATATTGATTTTCTAATATTGAATTTGATCTATCTCATGGCAGCTTTTTAAAAATGAGAGGACTCTTAGTTTGTCCCTATTAAATGTTTCACGTCAATTCTTTTACATCTTAGTGATGGGAGTAAAGAGTAAGGTCAAACTGACGAGACATTTCGATGTAATTTTTTTCTGGAAAAAAAGCACACGGTAGAATAATATGCATGTAATACTAAAATTTATATCAACGACATTTCCAACTATATACCTATTTCCTCAGTGCCCACAGAATCGACGGATTTCTGAGAAATAAAACGGTTTTGACGTGGGCGCTGGAGCTTTGCTCCGAGCAGAAACCAATCATCGTGTTGATGCACCGCGAATTGCATACGCGGAAGTCCAAAGGCACTGCCAACTGTCATAATATGGCTCGTTAAAATGAGCGTTGGCGATTCCGTTAGTGCATATTTATAGGTCGATGTTAAAACTGAGCTTGTCCCACATTTGATAAACCAAAAAACGCATGTATTCTTACGGAGCTCAGGGTTCATCAGAGTTAGAAATTGATAGGTTTAATATCAACCGATTCACACAAGAAAACATAATTTCATTAGAGTTTAATGACAATTCCTCGGGACTGGATTGTGCATAGATGCGATTGAACAGCAAGGCCGTGCCTTTTTATTACCGATCATTGTTGGCATTTTGATCTCTACGGCTATGCGTATGTCACGCAGGTGGCTGTGTGGCGAGAAGATTATGAGCTTTGAATTTTAATGAGACGTTTTGTTAATTAAGTGTGAACGCATTTTTGGGATGATTACGGTGCTTGGGCTTGATTTTTAAACGCGACAAGGTTTGACGAATATTCGATTGACTCAAAAATGTCCGTCGTTTTGAATCCAAATGGTACTTTAAAAAAATGTGAAGGTGATATTTAGTTTTTAGCTCGCCTGCCAGTATAAATCATCCTGCGAAAAATCAATTTTCGCAGAAAATATTTAGTATGCGTGTCTGAGAGAGATTTCAGTTTCGCTCTTGTATCAAACTAAAATTTTACTCGCAATCAGTCGCTCAAATTTCGGTCACCTTGGAAAAGGCGGCAGGCTTCAGACGCGTCTGATGAAACGTCTTGCACTCCTGAAGTTGCATTCTTAATTCATACAATCAACGGAGCCTACTTTACAAAGCTTTGACGGTATTGCATCGTGTTACTCACCTATCCATGAGGCTTCTTGCGGACCGACCTTGACTAAACTGTCGGGTGCCTCCATATGAGGTAAGGCTACTCCCGAAAAGCCTAAGCTCATCCCAGACGACAGTAAAGTCGAAGAGGCTATCACACTGCTGATGATCTGTGAACAGAAAATTTTGAAGAAGTATTAGTGAAAAAGCTACTGTTCGAGTGTATTACCATGAGGGACATTTCGTTGCTGTTCTGAAGTAAGGACGTAACTGATTTCTGAGTTGAGCCCTGTTGTTCATATAACTACATGCGTTTCAGGGCTCACGTAAAAATGAGGATACGCCCTTACTTCATAGGAGCGATGATTTATGACGGAGTCAGATAAAACGTGCCCAAGAGTGGAAATCCAAATTGTTCAGCACAGTGAAAAAACCGCTAATTCGTAAAAATGTAGATTTTTCAGTTATGATTGCTAAACTGCTCCTAATGTTTTTCAAAAACATCGGACCGAAATTTGACTGCATTTAGCAATTAGGAACTCCAATTTCTGGTTCATGTTAGAAACGGCATATGCCCCACAGATTTCCCTATGCAGATAGGTGATTCTATGAACGATCCTGAAGTTATAGTTCCTAGTTATAATAGTCCCATTTCGAGCCATTATTTGCATAAATACGAATTTTATGAACGTTTGAAATGAATCGTTTTCTCGGTTGACAGCCAGCTCTAGTTTCCGATAGTGGTTTCATTGAATCACCAATTCATATATCTGTAACTTCAAAATGCTCGCAATGGGTCAATTTTTGAAAATTTTGGGTGTCTTTAAGAAAAATGATACAAAATCAACTCATCTGAGCCGTGGTAAAATTACCTAATTTTTATTTTTTTCAGCATTAGGGCCTTTTTCACCCGATTCTTCCACATTCCATTGTTTAAAAAAAGTGCATGAGGTCTTTTGCAGGAACGCGAAACAATTATATCTGACAAGCACATGTCAAACATTTAGATATGTAGGTATGCTATCGTCATGCTCATTGAAATGTGCCCTTTATTCAAATTTTCCGATTCAATTTTTTAATATCCATATTTGAATTTGATACACACTGATTTTATCCCAACCAGCAGTGCTGTAGCTGTGGACTTGTGTCTTATCTAACTACAAACAAACACTCCACTTTATGATTGGTTTGTCGGATTGAGAAACAAGTGGATGTCGAGTCTGAAGGCATTATAGATACTCGTGATAAGTAGGTCAGTTTTGTTGCACGTATTCTCAAAGAAAAAGTTATCGCGTCTCGTAAATCTAGGCAGTGGAAAATCATGAGCCAAGCAGAGTAAATAGAGGAAGGTCAGAAAAGTTGAAGCAAGGAAATAATTAAAGTCTGCCACCAAAGACACCAAATAACTTTCTTTGTTAGACAGGTATTTAAACATAGGAAGCTATGTAATTCATCGGTAACTGTGCGAGCTGTTTTTATTTCATTGTTTCGTTTTTATTGCCTGCGCAGTATATATCATCCTTGTGGATAGTTAGAATTCCCCTTCTTTTGAAAAAAATTAAGGAAAATTCCATGGCATACATTCGCTAAGTTTTAGTGGTTGGTCGGTGGCGCTCATTCCCTGCGGAAAAAACGCTAGCATGATGCCAAAATGCGACTACGTAAAGCATCCTCCCGAAATTTATCATCCCTTTGAGCTATCTATGCGATTAAATCGATTTTGACGACCCTGTAGAATGAACATTAAATCGACCTCTTGCAATTTTATCTTTATTTTTTTCTGCAATTCATAACCCGAAAGAACGAAGGCTCCTGGTGTACAAGGCATTTCTTTTTAAGGCTAGAGACCGACGGCAATTAAGATAAGAACTCGACGATATGCTGGTTCATGGGTGTGATGAATTTTGGAATTAGTTCTATTGTTTATTTTACGACGTGTATTGAACACTGAGTCACACATAAAAATGAAGTTACTCATGGTCTTCGCAAAGCAACGAACTGAGAAGGTTAAGGCTGCAAACAGTGGACCGGCACCATCGATCGGACGCATGCAGTGGCGTGGCGTGCTTTGCGATATATCGATCGATTTGCCATTTTTATGGGAAAGGATCGATAAACGGGTTGTCCGCAGCGAACATCTTAATAATCGATTCTATACCATAGCATCAAATGGAGAAATATCGATAATCGATCATACATGGCTCACCACAGGACGCATGCTTATTCAATGACATTCTCCCCCCCCCTACCCATTTCCATCAAGAGCCTAGACTTACTCAGTCAACTTTCCACTTGTTGTGCACGGAGTAAATTCAAAATAACTAGTTACGTAAGAGTAAACACAGACATGGGACTAGAATTGATCTTGATTAAAAATTCATTGAACTCAAAATCGGACCTCTCTTGCATAATACATAGTGTAAGGTGAGGTATTATCATAATCTTCTCGTATAAAAGACATCGAGGAATCTCATGAGGGTTTTCGTATTCGATTATTTCTTTTCAAAAAATGATATCTCAAAAACTGCCATAAAATCCAATCGTCGTCCTTAATCTGAATTGTGAAGCTCTGGTCTGCAGTCTCGACACCTGTGAGCATGCCTGAATCCACCGAGAGTAGGTATAGACTGCCGAGTAATGTGCATGGGTATTTTATCTTCATCGGAAATAATTATTTTTTATTTAATTTAAGGGAACGCCGAAGTTACCGTTAATAATCGCTTAAAAATAGCAAGTGATGTTCAGTAAGCATGTAGAGATAATTTTTGAAAGGGCGTTTTCTTCTATTGTGCAATTTTCCATGAGTGGGTATGATCAACATGTTAAATATTATGATAAGAAACAATAAATTGTTAGATTATCAATTCTCTCTCCGTCTCGAGATTTCAGCATCACTTTAATTGCTGCATGAACCCCAACGAAAAACAGCATTCATTTTGATTAATTTTCATTTTCAAGATTATCACAAATTTCCAAAAACCTACAAGGCTACGCAATGATGACTTTTTAGGAAAAGATAACACCGAAAACAAACGCGCTAATTCTAATTGTTGCGCATACCAATGGACCAAATCTGTCACAAAAATCGTCGTTTCCCTCATCACGAAAGGACGTAACTCCATTTCAATGTTGCCAAATTTTCCCTCTGAAAGTGCAGATTATTCAGGAAAATCTCGTGCATTTCTAACAGAAAATTTCACAGATTTTCCCTCAAAGTGTATGTAAACCTCGAATCATTTTGGATAGAAATTGCACAGGTACATTTTTGTAAAATAAAATAATTGTTAGAATCTATTTGGCAACCTTGGAATAGAGTTACACTCCTTCGTTCGGGAGACGACAAAATTATGCGGAGAGTCTCGAGAGTTAACAACACTGGGTTTCCCGCCCTTTTAAAACCATTTTAAACAATCCGATGTATATCGGAATAGGCCCTTTCGCTCAAAACCGATTATCTATAATTGATTTAAGTGGAGGATCAACAGTGTCAGCAAATTGCATGAATCGCCCCTTTTACAAGTCCCGGTTTAATAATTGTTTTTCCTCGGAAAAATCTCAAAATAAAGTCGTGGCAGTTATCAGTCATAATTAGTCAATGATACATGTTTTTTTCCGCGAGAAAGTATTACATTGAAACCTTGTTCCTGGAAAAAAACATTTGTCTTTTACTCCCTGTTTGCCTCTTCTTGCTAACTTAGGGCCGCAGAGGGAAGGGAGGGGGTGGGGGGCTTTGTCAAAAATATTTTGTCACTACATGAGAATGTGGCTTTGTTCCGCGGCTGCCAGATTACTAGACATAAAATCCGATCAAATCGTGAAGAAAAATGTGCGTAATCATTCAACATAACCGGCAATAGTGGAAATGGGAGTGTCCTATCTTACGGTGACGCAAAACATCGGTATCAGCAGGAGAGCTGTGTTATCATAAGTGGGACACACCACCTGATTCTACGACATGGAATATCAATTCGATAGATATAATAATGTAAAAAACCATGGCTGAGCACCCATTGCATCGGTAGCACAGTCATTCTATTCATCAAGATGCACCGATTGCTAAACAAGACTGTATGCAAGGAATATGAGATAAGTCGGGAATTGCGAAAAATAAACCGATAGAGATAAAGATATGAGGGCAAATAAAATATCCAGATGCTCATATAGCTCATTGAATAGTATTCAATTTTTAAATACACAGTAATTTGGTCACGCTTTGCAGTCCGGTACTTCTTAAGATTTTGCCCAAATCACCATCCAGGCAATTGAGTTTTTTTTTTAAAAAAGAGAGGGGAGATAACCCTCTCAGAGAAGAGAAGGAATGTTCTACCTGTTAGCATTTTAACAGGTTTCAAGGTGGAGTCTCAATAAATTGCGCTTGGCACTTTTTCCGATTTTTAGTTTGCTTCAGTGCTCCAGTTTACATATCAGAACCCATTTTCTCACAACTGTCTGATAGGTAAATTAATAGACAACCTTTCGCTATCCTGAGCCTAGAGTCGAACTGGCGAGTATTATCAATTAAAAGGGTCATGTTTTGTTGAAATTGACGTTAATGCAGCTTTCCTCGATGCAGTACCATACTGCCGTGATAGCGAAGAGAGCCGTAAGTGCATTCCGGGTTGAGCCTCAAGACACATAAGAGCATGTACTAGCAGTGGCTCATACAGGAGTGCACTTACGGCTATTTTCGCTATCACGGTAGCAAAGTGCAGAGAGGGAAGTAACTCCATCTAACAAAGGCTACTTTAAGAAATCAAGGGATAGTCAGGGATAGCGTCCGCCACATTGAATAATAGACTTTGCAATTTTTAGAGTTTTCTGTTTAAAAATCGGCATTACAGTTATGGTGAACCATTTTTACACGCATAGAACTGATATCGGAGAACTAGAAGAACAAACCAATAACTCGATTTCCCCAAACATGCAAGGTAGGTGCTTTCTTGCTTTTGACCGACGATTAGAGCCTCTTATTAATGCAGGCTGATAATCAGTTAGCTTCATTATAGCTATAATTTTTAAATATTTTGATAATTTTCGCGTGATAAAAATGAAAATTTACACGAAAAAATGAAGTTAGCTGATATTGACACGATTTCTGGTTTCCACTGACTGGATCTGCTTGATACACGCAATAATTTGAGTGCGTGAATGAATAATACATGAGTCAAGC